CATGAATAATCAAATTTCAACTAGAAATCTGCTGAGAATAGAACTTTTACTTATATGTAAATGTTTTTACAAAGAAACCTGTAGTCTTCTTGACTCTTGCCTACCTTGGGATACTGTTTTTTTAAAGGGGAAGAATTACCAGTGATATGGGTGGAGGGTCCCAGTTAGAAGGACTGTCCAAGAGGCAGTGAGGCATGTGCAGAGAGACCTGAGAAGCACAGGAGAATTTACCTGAAGGTTGAGGGTGGAGGGGGTGAGCATTCCAGTGCCACACCACCCCCTCCTAGGCAGGGAGAATCTAACTAGGTCTGAGGAGTGAGCATCCAGCCCGAGGAATTCTTTCCAAAATATTATCCTAATGCATTTTGTCTTCATATCACAGTCAAATCTGGGAGAGAACAAAGCCCTCTTACCCATCCACATTGAATGCCTTCCTTGTAACCCCCAATAAAGTTAGGCAAAAAGACCTTAGACTTTATACTAACATCTGGCAACGTATACGACATTCTGCCCTAGAGGTCTCCCATTTTACTGCCACCAGAAAGAGGGAGGGGATGTTTCAGTATCTGTTCCCAGGGAACTTGGTTGGTTTGTCTTTTTTTTTTTAATAGATTTTTATTGATATTGTTTGTTTTACATCCTCTAGGTTTCACTGTTTTCCTCCCCCTCCCTTCTCTATGCTCTCAGAGAGCCATACCTTATAACAAAGAATCTTTGTTAAAGACTGAGAGAGAAAGGAGAGAGACAGAGACAGACAAAGACAGTGAGTGAGAGAGACAGAGAGAGAGAGAGAGAGAGAGAGAGAGAGAGAGAGAGGAGAAGAAGAGGAAGAAGAAGGAGAAGGAGAAGAAGGAGGAGGAGGAGGAAGAGGGGGAGGAGGAGGAAGGGGGGAGGAGGAGGAAGAGGGGGAGGAGGAGGAAGAGGGGGAGGAAGAGGAAAATAATCAATACATCAAAAAGATTGGCATTATATGCAGTGCTTGGTTTCCAAGAACCACCCTATCATCTCTCCAAAAGAAGTGGGAAGATGTCTTCTCATATCTCTTTCTTTAAGCCAGGCTTGTTCTTTACAATTTTGAAACAGTGAGTTTTGTGACCTTGTTTTTACCGTTTACATTTTCTAGTCACCGTGCCTTGTTTTCTTGGCTCTGTTCACTTCACTTTGATTCAGTTTACATCAATCTGTCCATGTGTCTTTAAATTCACTCTGTTGGTCATATCTTCACGCACAATAATACTCCACACATCACAATTCATTTAGCCATTTCTCAATTGATGGGCATCTACTTTGTTCCCAGTTCTTTGCTGCCACAAAAATATGATGATAATTATTTAATATATAGGGAGCCTTTCTTTTTATAGATCACCTTCTCAGGGGTTCCTCCTAGAAGTGGAATCTCTGGGTCAAAGGGTATGAACGTTTTAGCCACTCTATTTGAATAATTCCAAATTGCTTTCCAGAATGGCTGTATCACTTCGCAGCTCCACCAACAATCCACCAGTGGGCCTTTCTTTCCTTAACCCCTCCAGCCTTGACTATTTCTCATCTTTTGTCATCTTTGCCAATTTTCTAGATATGAGGTGAAGCCTCAAGGTTGCTTTGATTTGCATTTTTCTTACTATTAGGGATTTGGAACATTTATTCATGTGATTGTTTATAGCTTGAGATTCTTCTTCTGAGAATTTTTTGACCGCTTTTCCGCTGGTAAATGTTTCATTGCTTTTTCAGTGATTTGGAATCCAGCTGACTTTTAAGAATCTTTTCATTAACATTATTGTTCTCATCTTTGTATCTGCTTTGTATCTGTATATTGCATACACTCTGTATCATTTTGGACAAACTTGCCCATGTTTCTCTGAATTTCTCATATTCTACCATAGTATCAAATGCAAATAGAAAAAGAGGCCATTAATCTCTACATAAAGGTCCCTGTGGGCCACATACTGACTGTCATTGGTTAATAATTCACATTGAATGATGATTAACTGATAATAATATTGACTAAGCAATAGGTTAATTTACTGCTGTTGCCTGTGTTTTTTACATTTTTATTGATTCTGATAAATATTTCCCATTCCACTTTAATCGGGTTCCTGGGGCACTTGGGAGGACCACAGGAATCATGTTTGACACCTCTGTTCTACATCGCTTCTGAGTCACCCTTCATGTTAGGACAGAAGAGAAAAGTTCACCAGTCACCAGCCACATCACAGCCTTGACCTCTGGCTTCCACGGGCACAGTCTGGCTCGTGCTGCCTAGGAGCACTAAGCAAAGAGACTGAGGCTGATTGAGGATTGAGGGGCTTTGAAAGTGTGATTGAGTCTAATGATGGGGATGGAGAGAAAGGAAATAGGAATCACAAGGACCTTCAAAGGTATAGCTGGTATTGAGCAACTGACTGACTGTCTGGGGGCATGTGTTTCCTCTCCCACAGCAGAACTTTGCTGACAACTCAACACCAGACAAAGGTCCCTCCCTAACCCCTGACTCCTTTGTCCAGCCCTGGGTCATCAAACCCCTGTGCTGGGCTTCTGGGTGGACTGCAAATGTCGAGCTTCTAAGACTGAGGACCCATACCACACAATCTGGCCAGAACCAGCAAAAGATGGGGCCTTCTGGCCTCCTCAGCAATAGCCTTGGGGTTTCTGTCCCCCGTTATCTGAGATTGCCCCACATGTTTGAATTCCTAGCCATGGCTCTGGGGACCTTAAGGTCCATGTAGTCCAACCTCATTTTACAGAGTAGCAAATTGAAACCCAGAGAGAAATAACTTGCCCAAGATTCATACAGATAAGAGAGACAGGATGTGAACCCAGGTGTTCTGACTAAAAATCTTATGGTGTCTCCACTCCACAGGATGAACACTTCCAGCTCTTCCCCTCAACCCTGCCCATCCCATCCCACCCCACACCCAAACCCCCAACCTAGATTTCCAGGACAGGAACAAGCCTTCTGACTTTTGTGGGATTTGTGATATGAACACTGTGGGTGAAAACAGCTAGGAATGGGGCTCAGTGTCAGAGCTGGAGGCTTAGCATTAGGATTGGGGGTT